GGAAAACCAAAGAGGGATTTATACACCACCATGGAGAAGAACAATTTACATATCTGACAGGACAGAACACCACCACCAAGTAAGAACTAATGAGCAAGGAGGCCCTTCCACTTCACGCAACACAATTTAGGCAACACCAGAGCTGCACTAAAAGCAAGACAAAGCATTAATTGGTTTGCACTCGTCTGTCTGCCCTCATTGCCCGAAGTTCAACTGAGGACATTCAGCAGCAGGAAGAAGTCATGAAGCCGCCCAAGCCAACACAGAACGACTGGGACGGATGGGCAAAACTGCCCAACCAGGTGCGCACAGTAACACGGCAATTCGCCTCCAGACCCAAGAGACTTGATCAGATAGCGGGCCAGTTTATCACCTAAGTGTGGTTTTGCTGCTACATCCAGCTTATTTCCCAAGACAAGGCAAAAACTTAGCAAATACCTTGTGAATTTGATGCACTACCTGAATTCAGCTGTGGAAGGAATCACAGAGAAGACCAGAACAACTCACCTTGGGAAGCACATGATGACCCATGAATGATGATGTCCCCTAAAGGATGACAAGATCTGGGAGGCGGGGTTATACATAAATGGGCTAACATTACCTCACCGCATATCACCTTCTCTTACCCACCTGGTTTCTTTAACCTGAATCATGCTTGGTGACCAAATGCACAGCACTGCCCACAAAGGCAGTTCTAACGTGGCCTCCAGGAGAAGGTCCAGCTGCAGCACAGGCATTTTGGCATAAGGTCTGAAACACCAGGTTAGAAACCAGAGCTGCACCTGCTCCAAGCAACTTTGTCTGGTGCCTGCCCTCAAGCACTCCCTCCCCAGTATAAACTCAGCCTCCGCTCTGAGATGCTTCAAAAACCAGGAAAGTGTCAGAAATTCAACCAACTGGTAATTAATGTCTTGGAGAAAAAAGTTAGCAACAACCAGTCACTTTTGGACAATAAGCCGTGGCCAAAGCCATGTAGTATTTCTGCTAGTGCCCGTGAATAAGGATGTCTAATGAGGTTCTGCAACCCCGTTGCAGATCACTCAGCATAAGCTCAGGGACCATGCTTCGGGTACCACAGATTTTAGTGACAATCAAGTGCAGGGGCTACTGGAAAAAGTTATTGCAAATAGAAAAAAGGTCATGAAACTGCACCTCAAGAATTCAAGAGTTAAAAGGAAACTTGTAAGTAGCACAAACACAGGGGAAGGTACAAAACTAATTCCAACAAGACCTTACTGGTTCTATAAATGCATTAATGAAGGCAAACAAAGTGTAGGCCTATTAATCAGCAGGATTAGAGAGTAGATGACAGAAGTCTCCCTACTCAAAGCTTTCTTTGCTTTGCACTTAAGCACTCAAAGGTGACTTTCATCAAGGACTGATCTCTCTTAAACCTTCCAATCTTTTTTCAATCCATTTGTTTGGCCCTCCTTGTTAAATGTACTCTTCTAAAGGTTAACTGTGAATGGATGTTTAAGGTTGAGCAACCTCAACCCAAAATAACGACTCTCCGCACAGGGTCAGAATTGCCAACGCAGCTTTGCCGAGGAAGACATGCATCCTTCCAGGGAGATCACGGCTGCTTCATGCTCATGTTCATGCCACCATTAATTTATCATTGATTTCTACAAATTTCAATTTAGTGACCACAACTAGTCACCTTTAAAGTCTCATCAAAAAGGCGACAGCAAGTCACCCACCAAAGGAACAGAAAACACTACAAAGCAGAGCCTCCAGGAAGACCTCACAACACTCACGAAGCTGCACACCTCCACGACACAGCCTTTAAGGACAGCCTTCCTGGCTCCAGCCAGGGCAAAGGGCTGGAGACACAAGCCAGCAGTCGGGATTTAGGGCTAAGAACCTGCAAATGTGGTGCTGCCAAGAGGCAGGGGATGACTCAGCCTTCCAGAAACAGACAGGGTGAGGTAAAAAGGACAACACGAAAGACAACCAGACCCACACCTGCGTCACCAAGAAAATAAGGAGAGTGTGAAACAGAAGTGGAAAGGAGGGCAGTGCAGGGAGCCTTCATTCAAGATCCTTCTACCAAGGATGGGTGGGAAGGTGAAGGAGAGGAGCTGGACGAGCAGGTGACATTCCCTCCACTAACCCTCCCTGCAGGAGCAGGGACACACCATGAGAACAAGCCAAGGACAAAGAAATATCTAAGGAATCAATATATATGGGCTTTGTCCTCAATACAAGACCCAGCAAGTCAGAAAAGCAACCGGTCAACTCCACTGGACGTGGAGGTGGCCTCTCCAAAGCACTGTGCGGGACAGTGGAGAGGACACTACTCGCCACGGCCCCCAGTCACTACTGCTCACCATGCCCGTTGCAGTAATAGATCCACTTCTCCCTGTTCTGCGTGGGGGTGGTGGACTTTTTCATAATAGCTTTTTCCACAATGGCACTGGGATCTTGCCTGGGTCCCTTCTTCAGAGTCCGTGAGCTCTTCCTGACGCTGCAGACGACAATAACCACCAGGACCAGCAGCAGGAAGAGGACAATCATCCACGGCAAGTGTTCATTGATGTCGAAGTGCTGGTGGACGTTCTGTGGACCTCGCCGGGGGGGCCTGTATGGGACACTGGACTTCTCACCCCCCACCATCTCCAGTGATGGCTGCTTCTCCAGCGCTTGGCTGGTCTGCTTGTGCCGGTAGCTCTGTGCCTGGCTGGTTGTGCTGGAGCCTGTGAGGGTCCCACCGGCACCAACCGTCTCGTTGGCAGAGGTTTCATTGTAGTAGTCTGCCGGCTCCACCATGCTGCTGGACGCTCGTGGCACTGGAGAGGGGACAAAGTCAGGAACTGAAGAGTTCAGACCTGCAAAAGGTGAGGAGAGTTCAGCGTCACGGCACCGGAGACAGGATAGAGCATCACATCACAGTCTAAGACCTGCCTGAGCATCTGCTTGGCCAGCAGACAGAAACCCAACGCCAGGCAGTGAGAAAGGGAAGAGGTGAAGTTGAGGTTTGGCTCTGGGAACAGATGGGTACAGTTACAGAGGTAGGTTCAAAGTAAAATTGACCCTTGTTGGTTAAGGCTAGTGGCAGCTCATTAAAAAAAAATATTATTAAAGGCATGTTGTCAATCTGTGTTCGCCCCACATTCAGTGTTTCTCAGAAAACCTACAACTTTGAGTTGTTTTTTCTTTCTTAAGTTTATCAACATTAGTTTTACTCCAGTTGTGGACTTTGGTATTTGGGCTAGAAATACATGACAATTCAGAGGCTTAGCATCTCTCTAGTGGGTTGTGTTAAGGAAGCACAAAATTTTTTATCAGCACTGTAAGCAGCTGTGGATGCAACAACAATACATGTTTCTCAAGCACCATAAGAAACCAAACTTCTCCCTAAGAGCTACTTTCCACCTTTATTGAGTTTTTTAATCAGCCCACCGCTCTCAGGTCCCAGCAAGATGGATGACCAAAGTCTGGTGAGAAGAAGGGCTCTTGGGGCAAAAACTAGAGCTTACTCTGGAAACTCAGCTTTTGAAGATCATGTCTCATCCCAGCTGAGCCAGAGAGCAGGTGTAACCACCTGTAACCCAGTTTTTGCCTCTGACTTGGTTACCCAAAACACTCTGATCAGGATACAAACAAGGTAAAAGTTAAAGTGTTTTCCCAACTATCTACAGTTGATTTCAAAGTTCAGGAAACACCCTCCTGTCCTCTCCCAGTGACTCAAAGTCATATCAAGCTTTGAGACCTAACAAAGGAGAAGCACTGGGAGCCTACCACTGTCAGCACTTCCCTGCTATTGTATTCACCAGCTCAGGTGTGCCGGCTACTAGAAGTTGTATTTTTTTTAATAAAATGCCCCATTTGAGATACTGTAAGGAGGTTGTTTCCCAGGGAGTGCTGAGGACCACCTCAAATGGAGTCCCACTGCAATCAGCCTTGGCTAAAACACCTCCATAAAGACTGTGATGATGTATCATTCCCAATTAAACAAGAGAATGGGGATTTCAATCTGGTTCTCCCCACCAGTGATAACTAATAGAAATCTTAGAGGTTAAAGAAAAAATTTATGGCATAGCCTAGGCTCCTGGAGGCCTGTTTTGGCAATGGTTCCTGGTCAAGCTGATATGCTGGCACAGTATGGGGCAAAACGCAGCAGGGAAAGCATGGGCAGGAAAGCAGTGAATTCATCAGGAAAGCAGTCTGGTGGAGCAAAGCTCCTGTCCTGCTGGAGTTTCCCTGCTGCACCCTGCTCAGGTTTGCCACAAATGCACCAAGCCTTGTGCCAGCACAACACACAGATGGGAAAAGTGGCTAGGGAACGTGGTCTCCTTTCAGGCCAGCCAGGAGGCTAGTCACGACTATAGTCTCAGTGAAAATGTTATTAAACACGTTTTAACACAAGTCAGGGCAACCTGATGCACTCTAGAGCTCCCTTTTGGCCAGCAAGCAAAAGCACTACCCATGCTTTAGACCAGGTTGCCCTTTAACAGCCTAAAGCCAACCCTGACCAGGGCAGGAATCCAATCCCACAATCAAAACCACATCCACGTTTCAGTGGTGGACATTACCTTTGGGAAGAGGAGCGGTTGGTGGAACTTCATAGGGCTCTTCACCTGCTTCAGTGCTTGACGAAGTCAAAGACGTGTTCGGAAGAGACGCTGGAGAACCACAGACATTGTCACTCTCCTTCGTCCCTGGCTTGATGACCACCATGTTTTTCCCAAAGCAGTCAGTGTATGTTTTGCACTTCATCACACTAGAAGGCACATCAGAAAAGGTACCACGAGGGCACGGCTTGCACCTAACGTCTTCCGTCTCGGTTCCTTTCTTGCGGACGCCCCAGCCGACCGGGCACACCGTGTAAGGGACGCAGGTATCGTTCGTCTGAAACGTACCAGACAGGCAAGTGCACTCGCGGTCAGTCAAGGCAGTACAATGAATTTTCTCAATCATTGGCAGTTCACAAGGTTTTCTACAGGGGTGGCACCGCTCTATGCCGTTCTCATGCTTGGTAAAAGTTCCATCTGGACAAGGGCTGCACTCTCTTAAGGTACTCTTCGTACAATGTTTAGACACGTAGGTTCCTGCAGGACATTTGTCGCAGATCAGCTCTTTGTTGGTGGCATGGTCAAAGTGGCGGTACTTGCCAGGGGAGAGGCTGATGGCATTCTGCTCGGAGGTCAGCTTTGACTGACCATCAGTGGTGCCAAGGAGCATGAGCAGCTGGAAGACAGACAGGAGGTATTAGTCAACAACAGTGTGCGACCAGAGCCCTCTCTGCTGGTGATTCCCTTGCATGATCACAAGGGATGTCCCAGAGCCATGGGACCATGGAGATGTTTCTACACCAAGGGTTGGGAGCTCAGCGAGATCAGGGTAGAAGAGAACTGGTACAGACAGCGGCATGCTCTCCAGATGCATCGCCAGCTACGGCTATAATTCCTTAAATTTGACACCACACTTCTCAGAGAGACTAAGCATCATTTACACTGACACCCTGCCAGGGCGGTAAATACTGCTAATTGTGTTTCAGCAGTACGTGCTACCTGGCCACCCCAGGAGAATTCAGACCAGCTTTGCATTTCAAGGCTGAGAGGCTCCAGCACGAGCCAGGCGCTTGCTGAGAAGCCAAAAAACACACGCAGGTGGTAGCTCTGACCTGTAAAACTTTCCTCCTCTGTATTTATTAATCTGCACTTGTTCAAATAGTTACCTTTCTAAGTAACACAAACCGGGATGAAACGTGGGCTAGCAGCCATTAACCGGACTATTTCTCAGCCCCTCTGCCCTTCCGTGATTTTTTTATGACCCTGTGCAAGCACAGGTTTTGTGAGACCACAAGGGATGTTCTGCTTCGAGCCTCCAACCACATCTGAACCCACGTTAAACTGGATGTGTTAGCAACAGGACAGAGAACCCAATGCTATTTTTAGGCACTCGGAGGAGCTCTGCTGTAACTTGGTTCCTCATTGCATCAGATACAGGAAAAAGGTCTCCAGTTTTTAGACGCTGAACTGCACCCAGCTAGGCTTGGCTAGATAATGGCTACGAATCTGTTTACCCATTTCCAATCTCAGGGCCTTATTCCCTTAATTCCCTTGCATCGCGGCTGCTCCATCCATCAAGCGGGACCTCTGCTTCCTCCAGAAGACCTCTGGTGCATGGATTTAATGTCAGTTATGCCAGCACAGGTAAGAGACCAAGAACAAAAGGCGTATGAAAAGAAAGGCTGACGCAACCTCTACAACATGCAAGGCAAGAGGAAAAAAACCCACATTTTCAAACAGCTGTGGGATGAGTTCGGAAGGAGAGAGGAACAAGCCAACGTCTCCCTGAATTTCCAAAGGTGCTTTCCTACACTGAAGGTAAAAAGACCAGAGACCCTAATGCTTTTCAACTGCACAGCCAGGCACATAAATCACTTGGCTATGTTATACAACTCCTCGCCTCTTGCTCTGCTACCTATTCTGGGATACCAGCCAGCAAGAATATATTCAGAAGGGAAAAAACAAAAATCCTCCCAACAACATGACTCTGCAGAAGGCCCACCGCGGCAGAGCCGCAAGCCGCACCGCATCATTTTTGGTGCAGTCTCTTGCTTCCTGGAAACACACAGCACATTCCTGTTTCACCTGCTAAATAATTTACAGCTCGGGATTTGTACAAAACACTTCAATTTTTTTTTTTTTTTCCTCCTAAAGCAGCAATTACAGAGCAGGCAGAAGCAGGCAAGCCCGCAGGAGCTGACGAGGATCCTGCAGCGGCCAGGCTAATTACAGCACGTCAAATTAAAAAGCGGGGCTGCCCTGGCAGGCAGCAAAGGCTTACAGGATGCATTTTATTTTTCCCCTCCCCTAAGACATGATTTAACCAAGTGCTTAGCTGGCTCTAAGGAAACCTGCCACCCGTAATCTTCATGACGCCACCCTGAATTAGCAAACCAGATGCAGCAGGATTCGGAGGTTGCGTGGGGGGTCACCTGCATTATTCATCCTCCTCCCCGTGCCAGCGCCAAGCAGGACAGGGTGTTGGGAGAGGCAAGACAGGCAGCGGCTCTCCTGCCTTGCCGGGGATGAGCTGCATGCTGCCATCTCAGATCCAGATTTCTCCGTCTGCATCAAGCCAGACCTCAGGAAACCCACGGACAACCCCACTAATAAGCACATGCCACGGGTCCCATCCTGCTCTCCCTTTTCTTCCCATTTCCAGCATCCTTCCATCACTGATCCAGGTAACTAAAGCCAGTGGGACCTGTGCTACCATAACGGCACCAGGTTTGGTTTTGGGTTTGTGGGGCTTTTTTTAAACCCTATCTATCTCAAGCAAAGTGGCACTGGCGCTTTTGAACATCTCCAGATCTTCAGCTGCACATGCTCTTCCAAGCTTAGGGACAACAGCAAGTCCCAGCGGGGGAGGGCTAAGCAGCATTGAACATTCACTATTGATTCAGATTGGCACTTCTGGTCCCTAAAAAAAGCCAGCTGCCCAGATTTCGTGGCTGGCACCACTCAAACCTCTGAAAGAGGCAGCTGGGAGCAGGAGGACACCTTCAACAAAAAGGGGTGTCTGCTGGTTTGTTCCCTCATCCTCAGGACTGCCCAGCAGCAGGCAAAACCAGCCCTTTCTGGCCGATACACTCAGTTCCACCCAGTTTTGGTGGCAAAAGCAACGGAGTAACGAAACGAGCTCTGCTTAGCCACTGGATTTCAGCTCATTACTCCAATACCAAAGAAAGTGTACAGGGTAACAAAACCACACAGAAAAAAGCAATCGGTGTAAGATAACACCAAAAAGCAGATTTGGTTTCAAGCAGTTTTGGTGCTGCTCTCTGTGCCCGACGCAGGAGCAGCTCTTGACAAAGAAGCCAAAAGGGTCAAGCGAGATGGGGTGGCCACGATCCCAAAGAGCATCCCCAGCTCAGCATCAATGTCCTGTGCCACATGGGCAAAGGCACTTCCCAGCCACCTTCACCTATTCCAACACGTGGAGGTTTTATGGTATGAGGAAAGCAGATCAGGTTGGGGAACACTCTCATTTTCACCTCCCCACACCGAGGAAAAGGCCCAGACCAGGGGACCTTTGTGCTTGGCTGCAAATAAACCCCCAAGCCGGCAGCTTCCTGCAGTTGTTGCGGGCATGACCCACCTCACCACCGCCCAGCTTGATGCCTCCATCACCCTCTCAAATAACTGCATGCTGCAGGAGAGACCAGATAAGCAATTTGCACAGTAAATAGTTTTTAGGGGCCCACAAGCTTGCTGGGCACATACACAGGGGGTGTGGGTGGGAATGCAACGGCGCCTTCAGGACCCAAACCCGCTCAGTGGCCCAGGGAGTCAAACCACCAGCAGAAAATCGGTGGATCAACAGGTATTTGTGTCCTGAAACGGGGTGACACCTTGAGAGAGTCATAATCCTGGGTTGTGTACAGTGCTGCCCCGCTGTCAGCCCTGCCGGGAGACAGCAATAAACCTAAAAAAAATTTTTAAAATGTAAAAATAATTTAAAAAAATAATAAAAAAAAAGACAAAAGCCAGCTAAATGCAGGGCACTTGGCCCCAGTAGAGAAGAGCAGGAGCAGAGAGCCACAAGTGAGCAGGGACCAGCAGTGCTAAACTGATACTCTGGGAACTATTTCCAAGCAAAACCAGCAGAATTTGGTAGAAATGGCAGCTGACTCCACGGCGATGCCTTGGCACAGGTCGGGGACGGGCTGCACAGCCCACCGCCCTTCCGGCAGGTCAGCTGCACCCTCTGCCAACCAGCACCGGGAAGTCCCTTACGACATTAAAGGAGGAAAAAAAAATAAATTATAAAACAAACCCAGAAAGACAAATAAACCGGTCTGGAAGTTTTATGATAACTTTGCAGCAGGAGGAGCCCTGCACTCCTGCTTTGCCCACTGTAAAAAGGATCAAGTTACTCACTCTGAAAAAAAGTTGCCTGTGAAGAGAGTATCGAAGAGCAAAGCAAGTTTCTGCTTCTTGCAACACAACCAGCTATTTCAGCTGGTTTGGGGTTTGTGAAACCGAGAGTCCGGGGCTTACCCTGCTCAGCAGTCCCTTTACTAGTTCTTGAGAGTGAAACGCAGGCAGCTGAGCATGCTGAAACAGCAGCACCAACCGGCACATCTGGTCCCCACAAAGGAAACCCCAGCAGCTATTCCTGCAGCCAGCACTGACCAGAGCTCACAAGCACCCCTGGCAGCCACGGTTTTGCTCCAAGCAGATGAAATCCCCCAGGCTCCTGTAAGCCTCAAGTCAAAGCAAGGCAACATCACCAAGGTTCAAGGCAAAGGCATTTGGGGAGATGTTGGAAACCACCTTGCGGGAGCTGGCGGGTCCCCGAAGCCCACAGCAAGCAATGGAAACCACAACCAACACCAGCCTTTCCGTCCATCCACTGCTGAGCGCCTATCGCCCAAAAACCAAACGGCCGAGCGGTTTCAGGTTTGCTGCACCAGTAAGAGACCCACCAACTACTGATTTGAAAGTACTTCCATGGGGCTAGAAAGACTTTAACTCCTTGTGGGGCTGAAGGTAATTGCCCAAAATTTTGAAGATGAAGATGTCGGCTGAAGAAAGCCTGGCCAATGGCCAAGGGAGCATCCTGCCAGCTCGCAAGCAAATGGGAATCCTGTCTTACAGCTCGTTGCTTGTATGATCAGCACATGCAGAGGTCTGAGTACATGCGTGCACAAGCAATACATGCACACATTTGCTCAGAGTCTCAGCTTCCTTTTGCAAAACTGCTGCTGTATTTCCCTAAACCTTTGTATCACTTTTTCCCCCTCTTCCCTCTATACCCGCCATTCCCAACTGACCTCCAGGATCCCAGCTGGAGCTCCATACCTCAAGCTCTGCATCAGCATCTCATCTTCCAGACACGCAGCAGCACCCTCCTCTCCCAGCGGGAAACTGGTGCTCAGGAGCACCCAGCCAGCACCATGCACAGACCCTGGCTGCTCCGCTGCCACGTGAAGTTACCCTTTGCCTTCAAAGCAATGAGGCTGTTTCCCAGCTAATGCTCTCCCAGCTTTAGATTATTTTTTTGTTTACTCGGATTCCTGTCGAGCCAGCACCAGCTTGCTAAGAGCCACCTTGAGTTCAAGAGCAAGTGCACTCCTCAGTTACACAACCCAGCCGCAGCAGCTGCGGCGTGTGCCTGACACACCGAATTACCGTCTCTCCCCAAAAAGACAGGATGTAGCCCTAAAGCACTGATTGGG